TATAAGGATAAGAGGATGATACACAATCCTTTTACCGCGTCTTGAAGCCCTTTTACCGCGTCTTGAAGCCTTTTTACCGCGTCTTGAAGTCCCTTTACCACGTCTTGAAAATCCTTTACCACTTCTTGAAGCCCCTTCATGACGCATTGAAGCTCCTTAACCAAATCTTGAACCTCTTAAAGCTTTTTTAACACGCCTTGAAGCCCCTTTACCTCGTCTTGAAGCCCCTTTAGCTTGTCTTGAAGCTAATTTACCACGTGTTGCAGCCCCTTTACCTCGCCTTGAAGCCCCTTTACCTCGTCTTGAAGCCCCTTTACCTCGTCTTGAAGCCCCTTTACCTCGTCTTGAAGCCAATTTACCACGTGTTGCAGCCCCTTTACCTCGTCTTGAAGCCAATTTACCTCGTCTTGAAGCCAATTTACCACGTCTGGGAGCTTCTTTACCACCTCTTGCAGCCCCTTTGCCACGTTTTAAAGCCCCTTTGAAGTTTATGGTGCTGGCCCTATGTCTCTATGGGCCATGGGCGTTCTAAGAGTGTTCCGGTCATCATATAATCCTATTGAGACTTTCACAGCAAAAATATCATCCCATGTTTGCGCCGTTCCTGTCTGATGAAACCACACAGAATACCCTTCGTTCTCCCACGTGACAAAACTAAATACTTGACACAGACTGCAGTTTCGGCAAATCCAATAGCACTCACAAGCATTCGATGTATAAGCTGGCTGTCAGAAGCGCAAACATAAAAACACCGGCACTGAAACTGCAGTTAATCGTCGGTGTAGCTTGTAGCACAGATGGGTTGAAGCATATGCAGTTAATCGTCGGTGTAGCTTGTAGCACAGATGGGTTGAAGCATATGCAGTTAATCGCACAAGGCAGAGTATCATTCATGCCGCTAAGTATCACTGACCCGGCAGAGTATCATTAATGCCGCCAAGTATCACTGACTTGGCAGAGTATTATTCATGCCGCCAAGTATCACTGACCTGGCAGAGTATCATTAATGCCGCCAAGTATCACTGAAATGGCAGAGTATCATTCATGCCGCCAAGTATCACTGACCTGGCAGAGTATCGTTCATGTCGCCAAGTATCACTGACCCTGCCGAGTATCATTCATGCCGCCAAGTATCACTGACCTGGCAGAGTATCATTCATGCCGCCAAGTATCGCTGACCCGGGAGAGTATCATTCATGCCGCCAAGCATCACTGACCCTGCACATTTTTACTGGGATCACGGCACAGCTGACTGGAGAATCCACACTAATGGCAACAAGCAGTGTGACAACAAACACACATCCAACATACACACTATTGGCAACATGCAGTGTGACAACAAACATACATCCAACATACACACTAATGGCAACAAGCAGTGTGACAATAAACATACATACAACATACACACTAATGGCAACAAGCAGTGTGACAACAAACATACATACAACATACACACTAATGGCAACATGCAGTGTGACAACAAACATACATACAACATACACACTAATGGCAACATGCAGTGTGACAACAAACATACATACAACATACACACTAATGACAACATGCAGTGTGACAACAAACACACATACAACATAAACACTAATGGCAACATGCAGTGTGACAACAAACATACATACAACATACACACTAATGACAACATGCAGTGTGACAACAAACATACATCCAACATACACACTAATGGCAACATGCAGTGTGACAACAAACACACATACAACATACACACTAATGACAACATGCAGTGTGACAACAAACATACATACAACATACACACTAATGACAACATGCAGTGTGACAACAAACATACATACAACATACACACTAATGGCAACATGCAGTGTGACAACAAACATACATACAACGTACACACTAATGGCAACATGCAGTGTGACAACAAACATACATACAACATACACACTAATGGCAACATGCAGTGTGACAACAAACATACATACAACATACACACTAATGGCAACATGCAGTGTGACAACAAACATACATACAACATACACACTAATGGCAACATGCAGTGTGACAACAAACATACATACAACATACACACTAATGGCAACATGCAGTGTGACAACAAACATACATACAACATACACACTAATGACAACATGCAGTGTGACAACAAACATACATACAACGTACACACTAATGGCAACATGCAGTGTGACAACAAACATACATACAACGTACACACTAATGACAACATGCAGTGTGACAACAAACATACATACAACGTACACACTAATGGCAACATGCAGTGTGACAACAAACATACATACAACATACACACTAATGGCAACATGCAGTGTGACAACAAACATACATACAACGTACACACTAATGGCAACATGCAGTGTGACAACAAACATACATACAACATACACACTAATGGCAACATGCAGTGTGACAACAAACATACATACAACATACACACTAATGGCAACATGCAGTGTGACAACAAATACATACACTACAACATGCAGTACACACTAATACAACATACACACTGATGGCAACATGCAGTGTGACAACAAACATACATACAACATACACACTAATGGCAACATGCAGTGTGACAACAAACATACATCCAACGTACACACTGATGGCAACATGCAGTGTGACAACAAACATACATACACATACAACTAATGGCAACATGCAGTACAACACTAATGGCAACATGCAGTGTGACAACAAACATACATACAACGTACACACTAATGGCAACATGCAGTGTGACAACAAACATACATACAACATACACACTAATGGCAACATGCAGTGTGACAACAAACACGTACAACAATGTACATCCAACGTACACACTAATGGCAACATGCAGTGTGTGTGGCATACATACAACATACACACTAATACAACAGTGTGACAACACATACATACAACATACACACTAATGGCAACATGCAACAACAAACATACATACAACATACACACTAATGGCAACATGCAGTGTGACAACAAACATACATACAACGTACACACTAATGGCAACATGCAGTGTGACAACAAACATACATACAACATACACACTAATGGCAACATGCAGTGTGACAACAAACATACATACAAAGTACACACTAATGGCAACATGCAGTGTGACAACAAACATACATACAACATACACACTAATGGCAACATGCAGTGTGACAACAAACATACATACAACACACACTAATGGCAACATGCAGTGTGACAACAAACATACATACAACATACACACTAATGGCAACATGCAGTGTGACAACAAACATACATACAACATACACACTAATGGCAACATGCAGTGTGACAACAAACATACATACAACATACACACTAATGGCAACATGCAGTGTGACAACAAACATACATACAACATACACACTAATGGCAACATGCAGTGTGACAACAAACATACATACAACATACACACTAATGGCAACATGCAGTGTGTGACAACAAACACATACAACATACACACTAATGGCAACATGCAGTGTGACAACAAACATACATACAACGTACCACTAATGGCAACATGCAGTGTGACAACAAACATACATACAACATACACACTAAAATGGCAACATGCAGTGTGACAACAAACATACATACACACTAATGGCAACATGCAGTGTGACAACAAACATACATACAACATACACACTAATGGCAACATGCAGTGTGACAACAAACATACATACAACATACACACTAATGGCAACATGCAGTGTGACAACAAACATACATACAACATACACACTAATGGCAACATGCAGTGTGACAACAAACATACATACAACGTACACACTAATGGCAACATGCAGTGTGACAACAAACATACATACAACGTACACACTAATGGCAACATGCAGTGTGACACAAACATAATACAACATAAACACACACTAATGGCAACATGCATGTGACACAAACACATACATGGCAACATGCACACTAATGGCAACATGACAACAAACATACATACACATACACACTAATGGCAACATGCAGTGTGACAACAAACATACATACAACATACACACTAATGGCAACATGCAGTGTGACAACATAAATAAACATGGCAACATGCAGTGTGAACAACAACATACAACATACACACTAATGGCAACATGCAGTGTGACAACAAACATACATCCAACGTACACACTGATGGCAACATGCAGTGTGGCAACAAACATACATCCAACGTACACACTAATTGCAACATGCAGTGTGACAACAAACATACATCCAACGTACACACTAATAGCAACATGCAGTGTGACAATAAACATACATCCAACATACACACAGAAGTATTTGAACAAACTGAGGGCAAACGAAAATAAAAATGAACTTTAAACTAACTATAATATAAACCCAAACGTTCAATGTAACATCGTTGTGTGTAACGAATTTACTGTTCATTTTCAATATAGAATTAAGTGAATAAACTTTTTGAAATGCTATAGAAAATAGATCTGTACAGAAGACCTTTTGGTGGGGTTGTTTTACGTTGGATCTTCTTGAAAATGATTTCTTCAATGGTTTTTGAGATCCTCGTTTATTTAGATTTTTACACACCCTTGCCTTACTCCAGATAATGCTGATTGTGAACACACCCTTGCCTTACTCCAAATAGAGCTGATTGTGAACACAGCCTTGCCTTACTCCAGATAGAGCTGATTGTTAACATACTCTTGCCTTACTCCAGATAGAGCTGGCTGTGAACACATCCTTGCCTTACTCCAGATAGAGCTGGTTGTGAACACAGCCTTGCCTTACTCCAGATAGAGCTGATTGTGAACACAGCCTTGCCTTACTCCAGATAGAGCTGGTTGTGAACACAGCCTTGCCTTACTCCAGATAGAGCTGATTGTGAACACAGCCTTGCCTTACTCCAGATAGAGCTGATTGTGAACATACTCTTGCCTTACTCCAGATAGAGCTGATTGTGAACACAGCCTTGCCTTACTCCAGATAGAGCTGATTGTGAACACAGCCTTGCCTTACTCCAGATAGAGCTGATTGTGAACACAGCCTTGCCTTTCTCCTAATTTTATTGGGAAGCAATCTTTGACGCCAGCTCTTGTTCTTATGTCGCTTTCACTTTCTCTATAAATAGCACTTACACAATCTATATTTATTCCATTTACAGCATAGTTTTCTAAGATATCCCATAGTAAATTTCCGTTAGCTCTGTCAAAAGCTTTTTCTTGATCTATAAAAGCGGTGTTCATTTGGTGCCTGTGTTCTATTGTCTTTTCGTTAATTTGCCTTATGGCGTAATTAGCGTAAGTACACCCTCTTCCTTTCCTGAATCCGACCTGTGCTGGGCTCAGAATCGGTTCTACAACAGATCTCATTCGTTCTTCCATAATCTTAGCAAATAGTTTACCTACGTGGCCAAACAGGAAGATGCCTGTAAAAGTTTTACAGTCTTGCTTATTACCTTTTCTTTACCCTATAGGTACTGTAGTGGCTCTTTGCCAGTCTCTTGGTACAGTTCTTTCATTCCAGGCTTTCCTAAATATATGGAATAGAGAAGTGACTAAATTTTCTCCACAGGCCTGTGTTGCTTTAGCTGTAACTCCAGCAACATTAGCGGCCATAATTGTTTGGACTGCACCTGATTACTTTTCTGACTTCTTGTTCGATTATTCCAGGCTGTTTCTCATGTGTAAATCTGGGTGTTAATGGTACCGTTCCTGTATTTTCTGTTACCTTCAGAAGAGTTTGGAAATATTCTTTCCACCTTTAGCTGATCTTACCCTCTTCACTGTCTTACTATTATAGTAATTTGGGGGGGGGGGGGGTGGCGACGATTGTGGTGCACTGATAAGACGCTAGCTAGTCGGCCCAAGTGTCTTCTTAGGTTGAAATCCATTGTTCGATAACTGACATTTGCTCCCAAGTCACTGGAGACCAAAACGGGTGCCAGGCTTTGTCCTGAGAAGAAAGGCCAATTGGCATGTTTGTGACATCATCCGTGGCGTGCCGTGTGGTTTATACAAAAATGCTTCTAGCATCATCTGCCCAGCGCCCCACTGACCTCAAGAGCATCCTTGACCTTTCTGTGCCGTGTAGCTGAAGCAGATGAGAACTTCAGGCAAAAGAATAAACACACAACATAACTCACATATTTGTAGAAAAGTCAAAGGGCACACGGACACAAGCGAACGTTTCCACCAAAGGCTAAGTCCATTAACAAACACATCATGATGCTAACTTTCAGGTTCATGTATCGCAACCACACTGTGACACACACAACTGACAAGTCTCAGTCATCTAGTAGTCCAGCCTTGGTTAATAAGTGTGTCCACGTGCACAATGAATCTGTTAAGATGACCCTCCATGTGATGATGCAGAACTGTCCAGTATCTTCACTCTAGTCTCTCTCTGCACCCCCTTCCCCCCCCCCCCTCCCCCCCCCCAAGCTCTCTAGTTGTCACCACACACACCAGTGTTCCCCTTCCCACTACTGGCCCAAAGAAATTAGACTGACATGTTGTGATGTTGTGCTTCTGCACAAGGAAGTCAGGCGTACAGTGCTCTACTTCTGTACAAGGAAGTCAGGCGTACAGTGCTCTGCTTCTGTACAAGGAAGTCAGGCGTACAGTGCTCTGCTTCTGCACAAGGAAGTCAGGCGTACAGTGCTCTGCTTCTGTACAAGGAAGTCAGGCGTACAGTGCTCTGCTTCTGTACAAGGAAGTCAGGCGTACAGTGCTCTGCTTCTGTACAAGGAAGTCAGGCGTACAGTGCTCTGCTTCTGCACAAGGAAGTCAGGCGTACAGTGCTCTGCTTCTGTACAAGGAAGTCAGGCGTACAGTGCTCTGCTTCTGCACAAGGAAGTCAGGCGTACAGTGCTCTGCTTCTGTACAAGGAAGTCAGGCGTACAGTGCTCTGCTTCTGTACAAGGAAGTCAGGCGTACAGTGCTCTACTTCTGTACAAGGAAGTCAGGCGTACAGTGCTCTGCTTCTGTACAAGGAAGTCAGGCGTACAGTGCTCTGCTTCTGTACAAGGAAGTCAGGCGTACAGTGCTCTGCTTCTGTACAAGGAAGTCAGGCGTACAGTGCTTCGCTTTAATGCATGAATGTCAGTAAAGATAAGAGAAGGTAAATTCAAAATACACAAACAAATGATCATTGCAGGTAACAGTTAGGGCTCTGTAGATGTGCCAGAACTCAGTAACTAAGGCTGTGTTTATTAGAGAGTGTCCAGCTCCGCACTTCTGAAACCCACAAGAAAATCTGCTGCTCCTCAGATGTCTTGTTCGTATAAGGGACACTGACATGGTTTTGTTGATGGAATCCACCCGTACCCGATATTTTCTGCGCCGAGAAACGAAGATTAAGTAAATGTGCGGCAGTTGATGCATGTTTACAATGTGTATTCTGGGTAGCAGGGGCCGACAACCACGTAGTTACGTCCAGTACTGGTGGCGTTGTAACGTTGCAGTC